AGTCCATCGACACGATCATCAGGATCTGGAACGACCCCAAGCCGGGAGTGTATGAAAGCGAGTTCTGGCGGTTCACAATCCCTGAACCGGTGGACAATTCGGTCTGCGGTTCCACGTCACGCCATACCAGAAGCCACACCCGCCGATTGGCGTCGCGGGAGTGTCCCCGAACTCCGACACTCTGATCCTCGCAGGCGAGCGAGGATGGATACCGATGAGCATCAACCTCGTACCATCGCGCATCCTCAGCACACACTGGGACGCGGTTGAGAAAGGGGCCGCGATATCCAGTCTGTCCCCGAGTCGCGCTGAATGGCGAATTGCCAGAGAGGTGTATGTCGCCGAAACATCCGAAAAGGCGCGGGAAGAGGCGCTCAACGGTGTGCTCAGACGGGATTTCGAGCAGTATTTCCTGCGGCTTATGCCAAAACTTGGGATGCTCGACCTGTTCAAGGTGGACCCTGACATGCCCGACTCGGACGTAGATCGCTGAATACTCTCGTGGACAACGTCTTCGTAGTGGGAAGCCCGGACGAGTAGTGGACAAGCTCGGCACTCTGTACGACGACGATGTGGGCGGATTCGGCGTACTGCTGGCTATGGGACACGAGTGGCAGCCCTACGAGAACTGGGTGCGTTCTATGGAACTTCTGGCCAAAGAGGTGGTTCCCAAGCTGCCAACGCCAGCCTGACACAGTGACCGACACCGATCCGCACCATGTATTTCACATGGCGGAGATGAACGGCGTCTGACGCCCTAGGAACAGAATCCATGCAGCCAGGAGAAATCCTCCTAATACAGTTAGACGCCGGCCCGCGCCTGGCTCGATACATCGAAACAGCCGGAAACCGGCTACGTGTAGCCATCGGTCGCAACCGTGAGGCGAGGATTCCACAGTCGCGTGTTCTCCACGAGACAGGCGTCAAAGCTTCATCGTACGAGGCTGTCGAGCAACTTAGGCAGCAAGCCGAGGCAGCTCTCAGCGAACTAGACATCGAGGAAGTTTGGGACATCGTCTGCGAAGATGGCGACGTGCTGACCCTGTCTGACATAGGAGAGCTGTACTTTGGCACTGAGCCATCAGTACAGCAAACTGTGGCCGTTCTGCTGCACCTCATAGACGACGACCTGCTGTTTATTCGGGATGGGTCGCACTTCTTGCCCCGTGACCGCGAGACCGTCGCCACGATGATCGAACGACGGCAGAGGCAGCAACAGCGCACTTCGGACACTAACGAGCTATCGACAGCGTTCCGGCCTGCAGGCGTGATTCCAGAAAGTCGCACCGAATATCAGTCGGTGATCCTGGAGCAAGTCAGAGCCTTCGTACTGCACGGGGATGACTACACACGCGCCAACTTCGTCAAGCAGTTCCTTGAGACTGCTGGAGTGCGTGGACGCGACCTTCAGCGGGCCGCGTTCGAAGCGCTAGTGGACCTGGGGCTAATGGACCCCGACGAGCATCTGGCTTTAGCACGGGAAGAAATCGTGGCTGAGTTCCCGGAACAGGTCACCGTTGGAGCCGGGTTGGCGGACCAGTTGCGACTGCTGTCAGATGACGATCGCGCAGACCTGAGCGGACTGCTGACGATCACAATAGACGACTTCGAGACACGAGACCGCGACGACGCGCTGTCAATCGAGCCACTGGATGGAGGCTCGCATCGTGTCGGCATTCACATCACAGACACCGGCGGGCTGATCGAGGCTGGTTCTGCCCTGGACATAGAGGCTGACCGCAGGATGTCGTCACTTTACCTGCCCGAGCAGACCATCAGCATGTTGCCACCCGCGGTGTCGGCCGGCTCAGGAAGCCTGAACCCCGGAGAGCTGAGAGCATGCCGTAGACGCGTGATCGTCGAATGCCTGAGAAGTCCGGCAGAAATACTTGTAGGGCGCACTGGCGAACGGTCTAAGTCTGCTATTCGCAGCGATCACGCGCTTGCGTACGCGGAGGCAGACGCCGCGATTGCCGACCCATCTCACCTGCTGCATCGGAGCTGGGCGTCCTGCACCGATTGGCCAAGTCACTCAGGGCGGCGCGAAATGCAGGGAGATTGTTTACGCGCTTACTCAGCCTGTGAAGGGACGAGTTGTCGGTGAAGGTAGACGCCAGCGGAAAGATCAGCGTTGGAGTCGTGCCCCGGTTCGCTCCTGCCCGCAGCCTCGTCGAGGAGTACATGGTGCTGTGCAACTCGCTACTTGCCAGGTACTGCGTTGAAAACGAACTGCCAGCCCCATTTCGAGCTCAGGCCCTTCCCGATATGTCTGACATTGTTACACAGGTGCCCGAGGGAGCTCTCCGTACTTACATGATGACCCGGAGACTGACGGCAGCGACAGTCAGCATAAAGCCCGGACGTCACGGGGGACTCGGCGTCGATGCCTACACACAGGCGACATCCCCACTTCGACGCTATCCAGACCTGCTGGTACAACGGCAGATCTCACATCACCTGCGCGATTCCGGAACGCTGTACGACGAGGAGGCCGTCACGTCTGTCGCACACCGCGCAGATTTGCAGGTGCGACAGATGTCCAGGATCGAGAACAACAGGCGTATGTACTACTTCCTGAAGTGGCTGGACATGAAGAGGCGGGATTCCGAAGCTCAGGGCGACGACGCTGTCCACGATGCCGTAGTGCTGGAGAACCCCGGCCGTCGCGCTGCCGTGGTTGAAATGGTCGAGTGGCCGTTCCGCGCCCGCGCCGCGCTTCCAGCTTCAATTGCGTCTGGTGAGGTGGTGTCGCTTCACCTTCACGGCGTAGACCTGTGGCGATGTACTGCCCAGTTCACATACGAGGGATGATGCAAAAAGTCCTACTGCCTTACCCGTCATGGCATACAGCGAATCAGGTGTTTGACACACCAACAAGACCCTATGGTTGGCATCCTGGCCTATGTGCATTATTATCTGTCAGGATCACCTGACGAACATTCGGCAGGATACTCAAAGTATCTGAAACCAACGTGATTTGACCAAGGGAGAGGAACATGGTGAAGCAGGGTATAGTACCCGACGAGTTGACGAAGCCTTTCTGGCAAGCTGCGAACGACGGGCGTCTCGTCATTCAAAACTGCGTCGCCTGCGATAGGCTGCAGAACCCACCTCAGCCTATGTGTGCACAATGCGGCTCAGGGGACAGCCTGGAGTGGAAGCAGATGAGCGGACGCGGCACGATATACAACTATTGCGTTATCTACGATTGCCCGATCAGACTGCTTCAGGAGGACCAGCCATTCAACCTTGCGGTCATTGCGCTCGAGGATGACCCCGGTATCCAGATGTACTCCGTCTTACCAGGAACCCCGGTTGACGAGGTGCCTGTGGGAGGTGCCGTGAAGGTAATCTTCGAAGCAACCGCTAACGGACAGAAGGTACCCGAATGGCAGGTAGTTGGCGGTGGGTGAGAGTTCCAATCCCAAGTGACAAGGCACCGGTTGCTCGCAAGCATCAAGCTGGCAGGCTTTCAAAACAAGGGAGTGTTAAGTATGACGACGATAGATGCCCCTGAATCTATGTACCGATCTGTTGAGGGCTTGGGTGTGTGGGAACATCGAGGAAAGGTTGCAGCCGTCGGCGTTGGCCACTCGCCGACCGCCCGGCGATGGGACGGCAGGCCTGAGACCACCGTGGGCGCGGGCAGCATCCAATCGATGCGCCAGGCGATGCAAGACGCAGGCGTCAGCCCAGACCAGGTGGACGGTCTTGTGATAGTCCCGGTTACAACTACTGGAGCGCCCTGGCCTGAGGGGACGCCCGTGCCTATGGACGTGGTTAACACGTTCAACCAGACTGACGACCCGTTGGACGGTATAGGTCAACTCAGTGCCGAGTGGCTTCTGAAGAACATGCCTGAACTTACGAACGTAAAACTAATGATGCACGCGCCTGGGTGCATGTCAGCGGCCATAACAGTCGCCGCACAGGCCATTGGCGACGGGCTGGCCAACACCTGCCTGGTAGTCAAGGGCTGGCATAACTACGAGGGACGATACAACCACGGCGGCATAAGTGCCGCTGACGAGGTGCCGGGCTCCTACGCGCTCGGCGCCGGTCGATCACTGTGGGGTCCCCCAGGATGCTACGGGACGGCGCTACAGTTTGCCCAGTACTGCACCAAGTACGGCAAGAACCACGACATGATGGCCCCATTCATGCAGAACTCCAGGCGCAACGGACTAAAGTTCCCGGAGGGTTACTGGGCACAACATCGGCCTGAGGATCTTCCTCCGGAGGACTACCTGACCTCGCGCTGGATTGCCAAGCCGGCTAACCTGTTCGACAATGACATTCCCATCATGTGCACGGCCGCCTATCTGTTCACAACGGCTGAGCGGGCAGGCGACATGAAGCAGAAACCCGTCTACATACTCGGCCACGCCTCGAGTCGGGGCAAGCCCAGAAGCCTCACGCCCACTCTTGAAGAGGTAGAGGCGGAGACCGCCAGCACGGGACGGAAAATCTACGAGAGCGCCGGCATCACAGCCGACGACCTCTCTTTCGAGAACATGTACGACGGCTTCGCCCAGTTCCATCAGTTCCACGTAGAGGGTCTGGGTTACCGAGGAATGGGATTTGGAGACGCCCTGGACTTCTACCAGACGGACATTTCAGTCGAGGGTCCGAATCCGATTCTGCCCAGCGGCGGCAACATCGGGAGCGGACGGAGTCGTTTCTGGATGCACACCGATTCAATCCAGCAGCTCCAGGGACGTGCAGGAGCGCGTCAGGTGACCGGCGTGAAGCCGGAGGTAACGGTATCAGGCGGGCCCATGCCGTTGGGGGGCAATTTCACAGTATGGAGCGCCACGCCTGATTAGCAATCCTATTGCGCCTATTTCCACCACAGAATACCAAGACCGGAGATAAGATCTCTCTGTAAACTAACGATATTGGGCCGTGAAACCACGTTCCAATGCGGATTGACGAAAAGGAATTCACTTGGCGATTTTGATCAGCTTTGACATCGACGGCACAATGGAAGTAGGTGACCCGCCTGGTCCATTGACCATGGATATGGCAAGAAATGCCCAGAACAACGGCTTCTTGATCGGGAGCTGTTCCGACAGGCCTCCCAGCGCACAGAGAGCAATCTGGGAAGCGCACAACATCGCTGCGGACTTTGTCATCCCTAAGCACATGCTCGCCGATGTGAAAGCTAAGTTCGAGGCAGAGGGGTACTACCACATTGGAGACCGTGAGGACCTCGATAGGCAGACCGCACTTCGGGCTGGGTTCGAGTTCCTATGGCCTCACGAAGCCGTCACCAAGCCATGGTTCTCCTCGAATTCCAACCCTAATGGTGAGGGCACAGTCTAAGATCCTTGCTGATGGCGGGCGTATGCTCTCCAACGCGCTGGACGATGCGAGCTGGACTCTGCAATTGAGCATGAATTCAGCAGGAACGGCTATTCAGGAGTAGGAACCGTGGCTGAACCGGACGGAGTTCAACACGATGACTTGCAGAAGGAGCCCCAATCTTTTCCAGAGAACCGGCGGTCACTTCCAGAGCAAGACAGTGTCTGGCCTGCTGGAACTCCTTCCAATAATAGTCCCACTCGTGGTCATCATGTACATCGTCAACCTGGCGGACTCCGCGATAATTCCCATCTTAGACGTCATAAGCAGGGAACTCTCGGGCGGGACCCGGGATATTCCTGCTTTCTGGGGTGCCGGGCTGGTTGTGATAATCATAGTGTTCTATCTGGTCGGGCTACTTACTTCGACAAAGTTCGGCAAATCAATAATGGCTTTCCTGACAGATGTGTTGGGTAGCATCCCAGTGGTCAAGGGCATTCTTGGAGTAACACGACAGGCGACCACTGTAATGACATCGCGGTTCAACTTCAGCCGAGTCGTGTTCCTTGAGTGGCCGAGGGAGGGAATGATCGCACTGGGGTTCGTGACAGCGCGAATTGTCAAACCCCAGTCGGACGTGTCACTGGCTATCGTCTACATTCCCACCGTCCCGAACCCGACTTCCGGAAACATGGCTGTTGTTTCTGAGGATGACTTATTCGAGACTGACCTTTCGGTGGAGGACGCCATGAAGTTGGTGTTCTCGGGGGGCATAGTGCCTCCCGACTCAATCTCCCTGGGGAGATTGCCGATAGAGTATAGGATCAACTCAGAGATTATTGGACGCTTCGAGACCGATCGCTAGAGTGTCAGTTGCCGACGACCGGAGCGGGTTCCTCCTCAGTTATGGTCTCCGGCTGAGTAACTGGGATCTGGATAATCATCTCGGTATATTCGCCCGGTTCCGTTTCGACCCTGATTGACCCGCCATGCTGACGAACGATATCAGCGCAAAGCGCGAGTCCGAGTCCCGTCCCCTGATTCGGGTCTTTAGTGGTGAAGAACGGATTGAAAATGTTGTCGATGACATCAGGCGGGATGCCAGTGCCATTGTCCTTAATCCTGATCTGGATCTCTTCATCGAGTTTCTTCGTAGCTAGATAGACTGTCGGCATGAAGGACTCGGCACCAAAGGATTCCTCGCCCATTTTCAGACGTCTCTCGTTGGTGGCAAACCCAGCATTCGTGACCATGTTGATGATGACGCGGCCCATGTCTTGGGGAATGACTTCGGCTTGTCCAACGTCACTATCGAAGTCCGTTACGAGATCGAGCTGAAATTCGGTATTGGTGGCCCGCGCGCTGTGGAATGAGAGTCGGGCGTTCTCCTCAACCAAACTATTGATATCGGTGAAATGAGGCTCAGAGGCACCCCGGCTCATCAATAGCATGTCCCGAACTATCCGTTCCGCGCGGTTGGTATTGTTCTGGATGCGGTTGAGGCTGTCTTTGAGCTCACCTGAGATCTCCACGATTACGTCGCGTTGGCTCTCCACAAGAGTCTCCGCCGCTTCATCGATTACTTCAGTCAGCTCCTCGAGTATCTCCTCAGAGCCCTCAGCAAAGTTCTTGATGAAGTTCAGCGGATTCCTGATCTCGTGAGCCACGCCCGCAGTCAACTCGCCGATGGCGGCCAGCTTATCGCGCTCTACTATCTGGTTCTGCGCCCTTTGGAGATCATCCAACGCGCTGTCACGCTGCTGGACCGTTTCCGTAAGCTCCTCGTTGGTCTGTTCCAATTCGTCGTTGAGACGTCGAACCTCATCCAGTTCACGGGCATCAAGGGATGCTCTACGGAAAACCTCCAATGCATCCGCCATTTCCGAGACTTCGTCACGTCCGCTGGTGTCCACCCCGACATCTAGATCGCCGTCGGCCATGCGTCGCATCGAACCCAAGAGAGTCTGGAGACGACTCAACAGAATCCGCCCAATGAACAGCCAGGCGATAAGTGCGGCGCCGCCTACGCTGACTACGCTCAGCGCGGCGAGAACGATCTTGCCGGCGAAGACAGCCTCATCCGAAGCAACAGCCGCGTCCCCTACGCCGGCATTGGCAATCTCAACGAAGCCGTCCACTTCCTTTAGCAGCTCTACAGCAATGCCACGGTTTTGTGCTAACAGATCACTCCGGGTCTCCAGAACTCGGAAATGGCGATCCAAGAGTTCCAGCGCCCCCTGCTCCCCTACGCCTAATTCGGACAGTCTGGCGATGAGCGGCTCAATCTCTTCGCCAAGATCCAGACCCTTCAGAGCCCCGAGGTTGTGAGCCATACGGCTGATTGCTGACTCGAAACTCTCGCGCAGGGGTTCGAGGGTGGCGGAGTCCGATACGCCGAAACCGCTCTCCAGTGTCTGCTTGGCATAGTCTGTATCAGCCACGAGCGCGGATAGGTGGCGATACTGAGACAACTCCTGCTCTGTGAGGCGTTCCGTCATAGCGACCGGTGGATCATCGGCATTCCTGTAGCCGGTCATCATATAGAACCACTGGTCGTCCGCAGCCGGCGCCAAGTGGGCCCTGAGTTGGCGGTCCACGTCAGCAATGTCGGCTCTAAGGTTTTTCAACACTATGCTACGAGGAAATGACTCGACCATCCCAGTCTGAATGGCGTGTGTGTTGGATGTCAGTTCGTCTATGTGCGAACGCATACGCGCGAAGCGATCATCAAAAGCGTGCTGACCCTGCAAGAACGCAAGTTGCCCAACAAGCGCAACGTTGGCCTCCGAGATGTCAGCGGCGACAATTTGGAAATCCGTAGTGTTGGTAGTCGCCGCAAGACGAGGACCAGCATCCACCAGTGAGTTGGCAAGCTGGGCAATTCCGAAGGCGGCGGTCATCTCAGGTACACTTCCCTCATTGACACGCGCCTGTTGAATGCCCACTCTGTCGAACGAAAACCAGCCGACGAGGCTCGCGGCAACAGTGAGAACACTGCCCCACCAAAAGCCAGGTAGATCTGAGTAGAGATGCGATAACGACTGTCCAACACGCGCTTGAGTCGTTCGCCCAACTCAGCAATATCCAACAGGCCCCCTAGGGTGCGCTGAGACAGCCCACTTCCAGGGCCGCTATCACAGTGTTCCAAGTGGTCCGACTCGGCACTAGGATTGGTCTCGGAGTCGATCGTACTTTCTGGTCTCGCGTCGGCATCATTGTGTCGAAGGGGGTTGTTCGATCGTTCGCTCACGGCACTTCGTCCTTCAGAGAATCCACGGAGTGGTATTGGCCGTCACTGCCAATCACGCTCAGGAAGATGGCGTCGGAACCCTGATTGTCACCGACGCCGTACACAAGTTCGAAGCCATCTAAATTGATGACCCCGGATCCACGAATACCCGCGAAGAAACATTCTCGATTGACCTCGCTGCCGCAGCTTTGAATACCGGCTATGGCCAAACGGCCTGCGAGGTATCCCTCAAACGAGACGAAGTCTGGCGTTGCGCTGGGGTCGTAAAGTGACAGCGCCCTAAAATAGGTCGAGACCACAGGAATCGAGTTATCTTTGGGCGATGGTACTACCTGGGTGACGTACACGCCTGAGCCATAGGGGCCCAATTCCTGAGCAAGCGCGATTCCCCCAACAAAAGACAGTGTCATGAACACACTGTCCATTTCGGTTCTTCGCGCCCATGAAATCACCGTGGCGATGGGTTCGTACGCACCGATTAGAATGACCGCCTCAGGTCTGCCCTCCCAGATATCCAGAAGGGCAGTTTTGACTGCCGTCGTATTCCGGGGATAGACACCCGTTGAGACCACGGTCATGCCCCTTCGATCCAGGGCTGCGGTTACGCCCCGGTATCCGGCTCGCCCGAACGAGTCATCCTGATACAGCAAACCGATGCGTCTGATGCCTAGGTCCTTGGTGAGGCGCTCAACCATCTCCTCGGCCTCTTGGTTATAACTTGCTCGCAAGTTAATGACGGTGTTCAATCTCGAGGCGTCCCGCAGAAAATCTGCACCAGTAAACGGTGCTAGGTACGGGACTCCAGCTTCCGATGCAATTGGGGCAGCTGAGCGTGAGGTGGGAGTTCCAACCGCCCCGATGAGCGCGAAGACCTGTTTTTCTTCAATGAGGTCGATTGTGTTTGTAATTGCGATGTCGGGCTCATAGGCGTCGTCCATGGAGATCAGCGCCAGTTGCCGCCCATGAACCCCGCCGCTTAGATTCGCCTCGTAGAAGGCTGCCTCTATGCCTCGTCGCATGTTCAGGCCAAGACCACTTGCAGGCCCGCTGAGGGCTGCGGACTGTCCGAACACGACATGACTGTCAGACACTCCCGGGGGGTCTTCGTTGGCATCAACTACCGGGGCTGACGGTTCCTCGACATTGCCTACACCACTGCTGCCACCCCCATCCCAAGGGGCACCAACCACTATGAAAAGGCCCAATACGACCGCACCCAGCAGGATTGCTAGTCCCCCCAGACCGATCGTGAGAATTCGGAATGTCCGTTGGGGGCGAGGTGTGTTCATTCAGGACAATGCGGAGTCTCAGTTCTATACGTGGTCAGAGTCAGGCAGTTCCTGCCATCAACTCTCCGATAGTCTGACTGATCCATCAGGGTGCGGACGAGGTGAACCCCGAGGCCGCCCACAGGACGACAATCCAGCGAAGAGTCGAGGTCGGGTGCCGGAGTCTCAGTCAATGGGTCGAATGGGCGCCCGTCATCTACTGTCTCGATGGTAACGGACTGAGCATCTGACGTTACGATGATCTCAAATTCGTGCGAGCCGCCGTCGAAAGCGTATTCAATTATGTTCAGACCAATCTCTTCAAGAACCAGATTGACCTTAAACAAGAGATCGTCGGACCAGTTGTCCTCTCTTGCGAGGTCATCTATTGCGACGACGATTCGGTCCAGTTCTTCTCGCTCGGTCTTGACCTTGAGAGTCAGCTTGGCGGCCAATTGTCAGCCTCGGCAGAGAGTCAGGCAGGTTACGTCGTCGGATTGGGGAGTGTCACCGGCGAACGTGTCAACTGCGTCGAAAATCAACCTAGTAATCGCATAAGGTTCATGCGGGTTAGACTTTTTGAAGATATCCTGCAGGCGCTCTACGCCGAACTCCTCTTCGTCTCCGTTCATGGCCTCCGTCACACCGTCGGTGTAGAGCACGAGCGCCTCACCCGGGGCCACGGTCACAGTTCTCTGCTGATATTCATAGCCGGGTACCAGCCCAAGCGCCAGGCCGTCCGTTGGCGGAAGTAGTGTCGAAGAGTTGTCGCTGTGTACGATGAGTGGCGGGTTATGTCCGCCGTTAGCGTAAGTCAGGCGTCCGGTCTCGGGATCGTAAACTCCGTAGATGAGGGTGACGAACATCGCTGCTTCGTTGTCCTCGCAAAGAAGCTGGTTTACGGTCCCTATCACGTCACCCGGATTTATCGCTCCTATAGCCGCCCCCTTCAACAGGGTGCGTGTCGACATCATGAACAACGCAGCGGGTACACCTTTGTCGGAGACATCCGCGATAGCGAGCCCGACCCGCCTGTCCGGAAGACGGACTACGTCGTAGAAATCTCCTCCAACATTACGGGCGCTTTTCATGCTCCCGAACATCTGATAGTCATGTTCTTGAGGAAGTTCAGTGGGAAGTATGGACTGCTGGATATTGCTCGCGACGTCCAGTTCGTTCTGCAGCGACACCAGCTTATCGCGCGCGGACAAAGCTGCTTTCAACTCTTCTACGTGATTCAGCGTGCGATCGATTGTGACCTGGAGATCCTTGAAGTCGATCGGCTTTGTGACGAAGTCGAAAGCGCCCCGGTTCATGGCGGTCCGAATGTTCTTCATGTCCCCATAGGCAGATATGATGACGGACCGGATGTTGGGGTTGACCTCCGGGATCTGATCGAGAAGCGTCAGACCGTCCATCTGGGGCATGTTAATGTCTGAGAGGACCATGTCAATGGTCTCATCTTCATCGAGCTTGTGAAGCGCCTCCAGCCCGTTGCCGGCGAATACAAACTCGTAGCGGCCCGCCCTGATGGCACGCCGCATACGCTGAAGTAACAGAGGTTCGAGATCCGGTTCGTCGTCGACTACAAGTATCTTGTATTTCTGTTGCAATGTCATCCTCATCTCATGAGAGCATCCCCGACCCGACTGGGGCTCCCTCGATCGGAGGCCCTAAGTTTTGAAGCTGGCGATTGCGTCGGGGCGAGAATCACGGACCGGTATGATCTTGTCAAATCCGCTGATTTCGAACACCTCGCGGATCGGTGCCGAGAGCGAGCAAACAGCTAGTTCTGCATCCTGTCTCTTGAGTGCTCTGGCCATCAGCAGAATGACGCGGAGTCCGGCGCTGCTGATGTATGTGATCTCACCAAGGTCCAGAACCACAGCGCGATCTGTAGGGTCGATCGCATCTGTCAGATCTCCCTGAAACTCCTGGGCATTGGCGCCGTCCACTCGGCCATCTGCCATAGCGATCAATATTCCGTCGCTGCGTTCAATGCTGAGCCCCATATTCTCATCTCTCCCTAGGTCATCTTGATAGCGCAAGGCTGGCTGCCCACAAGCAAAGTGCTCTAGGACAACACTCAGAGAAAGCTGTAGTGATGCTACACTTGAGTTTTCTGCAAGTCAACGGTCTGGCCGCTTGAGTGGCTCTGTAGATCGGCATATGACGGACAGCACGTTTGGCTGGATGTTCTTGTATAATCGTCACAGACGCAGTCGGCGCATCTGGGATTGGGAGAGTCACTTGCAGGAATTCGACAGTGTAAGAGATCTGGCTCAGCGGATAATCGACAATGTAGAGCGGGTTATTGTCGGCAAGAGCGCGGCCGTCGAGCTTGGAGTGGTGGCGCTGATGTGCCAAGGCCACGCGCTCATCGAAGACGTGCCCGGCGTGGGCAAGACCATGCTCGCTCGTAGCATCGCTCGATCAGTGGGATGTATGTTCAAGCGCATCCAATTCACTCCTGACCTGCTGCCGACGGACGTGACAGGCGTGTCGATCTACAACCAGCAGACCGGCGAGTTCCAGTTCCGCGCAGGGCCGATCATCTCCCAACTCGTGCTCGCTGACGAGGTCAACAGAGCAACTCCGAAGACACAGTCGGCCATGCTTGAGGCTATGGACGAGCGACAGGTTACGGTCGAGGGCATCACTCACAGACTGCCCAGCCCCTTCATGGTAATGGCGACACAGAATCCCGTTGAGTACGAAGGTACGTTCCCACTGCCTGAGGCCCAGTTAGACCGATTCCTTCTCATCGTCCGCCTAGGCTACCCGACGATAGAAGAGGAACTGGAAATCGTCAACCGCCAGGAGACTTCACACCCGATTGACACGCTCAGACCTGTCGCAGAGGCTGACGAGATCATAAACCTTCAGAGAAAGATCCGGGAGATATATGTTGACGATCTCGTGAAGCGGTACATCGTGAACCTTGTGAATGCAACCAGGACTCACCAGGACATCGCTCTGGGAGCGTCACCAAGGGCATCTCTCGCACTGTTCAGAGGCGGTCAGGCAGTCGCCTTGATACGCGGGAGGGACTACGTTCTCCCGGACGACGTGAAGGAGTTGGCCGTACCGATGCTCAGTCACCGCATGATCGTTACCGCGGGAGCGCGCATGAGAGCTGTTGGCAGTCAGGAAATTGTGGAGCAGATTCTCGAAGAGACTGCTGTACCCGGCGGCGGCGCTCGAGCTGGCGCGGCTGGATAGTACGGTCCTCCATTGAAATTCTCTGTTCAGACGCGACTGTTCCTTGTTCTGGGGTTGATAGTCGTCACTCTGTTTACCGGTCTGGCCACCGGATTTGGTCTCTTTTACCGGCTTATCTACGTTCTCGGCCTAACTGCTGTAATGGCCTTCGTGTGGAACTGGATAAGCGTGCTTGGCCTCGAGGTGAGCGTTGACAGGCGGACGAAACGGGCCAGAGTAGGTGACGACATAGAAGAGCGGATAACCGTCCGCAACCTAAGCTCATGGCCGAAATCTACTATCGAAGTCGAAGACGTGACTGACATGCCCGGCTACTCGAACGGACGAGTGCTGAGTCTTCCAACAAGGGGGTTTCGATCATGGCGAACTCTCGCACCAGCGCGCAAGCGCGGAGTCTACAAGCTGGGACCGGTCCGCGTATCTAATACCGACGCCTTTGGGCTTTTCAGACGCGACAGAGATTTCGGCGACCAGGATGACCTTATAGTGTATCCCAGAGTCTATGACCTTGCGGACTTCGAGATGCCTCCCGGCTATCTGACCGGTGATAGCTCAGCCAGGCGCAGATCCCACGACCTCACGCCACATGCTGCAAGCGTCAGAGAGTATGCATTCGGCGACAGCATCAGCAGAATCCACTGGCAGAGCACCGCACGGACGGGACGACTCATGTCCAAGGAGTTCGAGTTGGGGATGGCAAGTGACGTCTGGGTGCTGGTGGACCTTCATCGTGAAGTTCAAGCGGGCGAGCTCGACGAAAGTACGGATGAGTACGCAGTCTCTATGGCCGCGTCGCTGGCGCAGAAGTACATCCGGGCACAGTTGCCTGTCGGCCTGCTCGCTTACGGCGACGAGAGATACCTGCTTCCCGCTGATACCGGTGAAGCCCAGTTCGAGCGGATCATGGAGCACTTGGCTATGAGCAAGGCTGAGGGCGCCGTGTCGCTGGCGGAGGTGTTGTCCAGAGAGGAACAGCTCTGGGGAACACACAGCTCGATCATTATCTTGACGTCATCGCACCGCGAAGACTGGACTGTCGCCATCAGAGAGTTGGTCCGCAGGCGATTGCGAATAGCCGTCGTTCTCATCGACGGCGAGTCATTTGGCGGTCTGTTCGAGACCTTGACCGTAACGCCTGCGCTGTACGACGCTGGGATAGCGCCGTTCGTGGTTCGAATGGGCGATAACGTCCCCGTTGCATTGTCACACACGTATACGGTTGACAGATCGGCTGAAATTGCAGAGGCAGCAGATTGAGCACTCCCAGCATAGGGGTCCTGCTGGGCCGACAAGGCAACCTCCAGGAGCGTAGGAGCCACCCCGTCATCTCCTGGGTGGTGAAGTATTCACCAAGCCAGGGCTGGGCCACGTTCGCAATCTTGCTCGTTACGTTAATCGTCGTGGCCGACTCGATTAACTCGGCGGGATGGGTCGAATCGGATGGTCTCACGCGCACTCCTACTTTGGTCCGCGATCCTTGGACTCGCACTGGCAAAGGTCAGGGTGCCCTGGTTCATATTGATACCGGCAGGATTGGGCATCGGCCTGTTGGGGATCGTGTGGCAAGCTTCTCGGGCGGTCGAAGGCGACTCTCTGGTTGAGCGGCTCGCTGAGACCAACAACCGACTCGATCTGTGGTGGGAAGCTGCTACAACCGGCGGAATAAGCACAGACCTGCTCCCGTTTTTGATGATGCTCCTGACACTCGGATGGATCGCCGGATTTCTCAGTTCATGGTTCATATTCAGGTGGAACAACGTATGGGTTGCGGTGGTCCTTCTTGGTACCGCGGTTCTTACGAACCTGAGCTTTCTGCCGGACCAGTTCGCGTCTCGATTCTTCATCTTCGTCTTTTTGGCAATGGTGCTGGTCGTGAGGATGAGTCATCATCCACGACACATGATACGAGGAGGCGCCTGAACACAAAAACGTTTTCAGTTCACCAACCCCCAGCACCGGTGGGTTAATCTCTACAGTCGCATTACGATTGGATGTTGCAGCATACGACAGTAGACTGATATCGCGTTGCACTCTCCGTTAGATGAATGTCTACTACTCATAGTACGGCCGCCCAGGTGTGGAACATCGGACGAACCCCGGTTGCGACGGCGGAAGACTTCTTCGCCAGATTGTTCGCGGCGCTGCCCTCCAAAAAGGACCAGCGCCTGCGGGTGCTTTCGACAGATGGCTGTGCCAATCTCAGGGTCTGAAGATATCCTGTTCGGAGGCAGATGGTCGCTGATCGGCTGGGCGACTTCGGACTACCCATCCATACTGCCTGCTCGCAACGAGACACTGACAACCAGTACCGTTACCAAGGGGTGTGTAGCCACTGGCTGCTGAGTCCGCTGGATGATTGGACACCGCTATCGACTGTCACCTCAGGGCGACATGCTCAAACGCGTTCCAAAGTCGCAAGTGCTGCAGCTTGGATTCGCTTCAGATAAGTTCCTGACCGGGGGCGGATACGACTGGGTTAGCCTCGAGGGTACTGCTGAGTCTCACCTCGAACCTCATGCCAGTTCTCGACATTTCACACTACGGGACGATAATTCGCTAGACGAACTAAAACTATATGCCCGCTGACAAGTCACGGGTAGTTGGCTGAGAGAACTGAGGCCGACTCCATCGACCACCTGACACCGCAGGCTGTTCAGACCCTGGCTTCCCAACTGGCCCGGACGACCTAATCCTTGTCGAAGTGCTCACCGACGACTCCGACGATGCCGAGCGGGTGGTCTTCCAGCGAATAGGCTCATCACCACGTCACCTGATCTGTGTTTGCCTTGGGGATTCAGTAAAAGCAACTCCCAGGAGTGGTAAGACACTGGGGAGAATGAGGCGTACCGTCATGACGTTCGACTGAGTATCAGTGGCGCCATACGTGCGTATCGATCTCTGATCCCCTTCGAGGTGCAAGCATCGATGTACAGACACACTTCCTGTACGCGATCACTACCTTCAACTCCCGGAATCGCTGCCGGACCGGGTACGAGACCGTCCTCGCGGACCGCTGCGCGGGAGTCCGACATCCCCTGCGACAAGACTAAACTGGCATTTTACAGATACTCACCCTTCGCGGCCGGGTTCACGTACTCTCTGGACATTGAAGCTCCGCCGATTGAGGCTGACGGCGTCGACTGGTTCCTGTTCGATTCCAAGGTCGGGTACTCCGACTACTTCGGCTCTTCCATGGCGGTCATGCTTCGATCGGTGGGAGTTCCCACAAGAATGGCGGCGGGTTACGCTCCGGGTGAGACTGTAAAATGAAGACGGCTCAGACGAGTCATTACCGAGACTCGACATTGCCATGGCATGGGCTGCAGGTCTCCTTCGACTGACACGCGTTATGGCTAGGGCAATGACGTCGAGGACTGCCGATCGAAGCTGGCCTACGTCCATGACAGCTCCAAATCACCAGAGTATCGCGCTGGCCGCGTGTGCCGGCCTCTCCGACCCCATTCACGATGACCCCGAAGGGTTGCTGGCGGAGATGGAGTCGGACCCATTCATCGAGGGCCTATTCGACGATGGCGATGGCTCATTTTCCACGGGCACAATGCTAGTGGACCAGTACGGCAATTATGTGATGTGGGCCTGTATGCTTTTTCGCGCTCGTCTGATTATCGCGCTTTGGCTGCTCGGATACCTGGCTATGGAACGATCGGAACTGGGGCACGCTGGTGGACGGAAGGAGCGCTGATGCTATGCCAAGATATTTAAGAGTGCTCGGTTGCTCGGGCGTGGCATTGGCAGAAGGCCCAATCAGGACTCCGACTGGATGGTAAGCCGAAGCAATGCAGGCCGGCGAGTATCATCAGTGAACATGATGGATGCTTACAAATGATCGACTTGGGATTGTCTGTCCGTGCGATAACAGGCCCCTTCTTGCTGAAGACCGACGACGAGAGGCAGGCTGCGATCTCCGAGACGTGGAAGTCCATCCGGTTGAGCATGGTGCGCCGGATCTTCGGTAGATTCTCCACCGGAGCACGGGCACAGCCTGGATGAGCACAAGGTTCTACGACGTATGAGACCATCGTCAGGGCTGTAGGGTTCTACTGAGGCTCGAGTCCGGCTACGGCAGAGCACGCTACCGTGCGAAACGCCGGGATAGAATAGCTGTCCTTGCATCTGTGGGCAGCAGAGATGATGCAGGATGCTGTGCGAGCAGGACGTAATGTTGAGGGAAGTCCCGATCGGCACATAAAAGTCGTATCCTGGAAAGGCGAAGATCACCCACCCACACAGTGGCACGTGGGCGAGTGGGTTCGTAAAGTTTTGGATCGTCGCGTGAAATAGAATTTGAGACGGTGGAGGAAGAAACGCCATGAGTCGGTATTTTTTTTCTAACGTCAGATCATTGTATAACAGGCCTGACGGTTCACCCACTCATGAGTGCTGAGGGGATAGAAGGTCATGACGCAGTGGATGGAGTGTCGAACTAATCAGAACTGGTCACCGTCCCATGGAGCGCCGCGCAGTCGGGACAAACAATGGCCAGAACCCTGTTGTACCAGGGGATAGGGGAAAGGAAAAACGCAGGGGGATGGGAGGAAGAGGGACAACGGCAAGAGGAGAGGAGTAGGGAGGAAAGCTGGCAGAGACGATCCGGAATGGAACCTCAAAGAACGTTTGCGTGAACCTAGTAATGGAGGCTGGGAACACCCGGTTGATGTAGAGCAGGCGCTTGATAGCTTAAACGCCAGGCGTGCTACGAACCACCAGTAGTACTGGGTGAGGATATAGAATTCCCGGGCGTTGCATACACCAAATCAGAGGGACAATCATCGCCAAGAAGGTTCATCAACACTACCGAAGGCTGAACGCTGACCGAGCCCGACCCGGTTAGTATTTCCTGGAGACGGTCTCTCAGTTCGTCGCAGGCATCCACCTGGATCGCAGACCACTCCAGCCGGTAAATGTTACCCTTAGCCGTTGCGATCCCAACATCTAGTCTCTGTCGGAACCGGAAGTACTCGAACGAAGCAGCCTTTTCA